CATCCATCCATTTAATTGACAAATCTAAAATTTCTACTAAAGCGCATGATAGGATAGAATAGGACGGAATGAAATGCGTAGATTGGATTGGTTGCGTAGATATGAGTTAGGTTGGTAAAGATGAGTGATAATTGAATAAAGTGAAATAGAATAAAATACGGCAAGGAAAAAAGCATATGTGATGGATAAATTATTGAATGGGTGGAATTTTCCCTCCTGATTTCAGCACAAGAAGATGGTCTAGTTGAAGAGAACGTGCATGAAAAAATCTACAAAATAAACAAACGTAAGTGGATTTAAAAATAAACTTTTTTAACTCTGCAAGCCTCCCTCGAAGTCAAGAATAGCGAGGACTTAGTTATAGCCGTGATCTGATCGAAAAATTTGCCATAATACAGGCTATTTGTCGTTTTGCTCGTATCAGTTTCACAGTACAAACACACTCATTCAAAACGAGTGCAAGGCTTCAACATATTTCAATTTAAGTACTTATATAAGATTTTTCTCTTTTTTCGCAAGAGGACGATCTTAATCTGTACGAGGGAGATATTTTCATCCCAATCCAAGAGAGAGGCGAAGTCGACTTTAGGAAAGATGGCGATGTTGATGGTGAACTGGACGAGCGAAGCAAGCGTAACGCAGTAAGGGATCGAAAAAAAATATGGCTGGGCAAAGTCGTACCTTATGAGTTTGGCTACGGTTTCCCAGGTAACAGCGATTACGTGATAATGTTAAGCAAGTTTGAGCGTTACATAATTAAGAGCACTGTCTAATTTATTTTGATATTAACAGATAGAAACCTTCTACGCATGCCTGTAGTTCGTATGCAAATTGGTAGAAAACGTTATTACAAAAAAAAGCAAATTTATTGGAGCCACTTTGGTGGTACTTCTCGTTAGCGTCTTGTGTGATTACGAGTCCATTTTATGTACCGCCATGATGGCTGCCACGTCTGTTGATGAGTGAACTAGTACCCATGGATCACTGGTTGACTAAGGCCGAGAGCGCCCTTGGCTCTACCTTGYTCAATATCATAGTTACATTTGTTTCTTGTCTTGTAGTTGATTACGAAAAGGTTGTGCATGAAGCCATCGCTGAGTACCACAACAAGACGTGCGTACGATTCAAGCCGAAAACAGACGATAAACAATGGATAACTTTTGTTTATCGAAAAGGGTAATTGTTAATAAAATCAAAGAGATCGTCTCATAAAAAGCCTGGAATAGATTTATAGCTGAAAGACCTTTCCGCCAGTGGACACGTTGGATGGAAGAAGATTATAATATATCGGCCTGGTATTTCTGAAATCCCTTTACTTTTCTTTTTGGATATTTTTTGAAGGTGTTGGTCTGCAGTGGGAAGGTCATACTGGTTGGATGGCGTTGGACAAGAAGTATCTCTGGGCAACGGTTGTAACCAAAAGGGAACAGCTTTGCATGAGATTATGCACGCTCTGGGTTTCTGGCACGAACAGAGCAGACCTGATAGAAACCAATACGTTGAAGTTCTCTGGGAAAATATCATTGAAGGTAAGGTGATGCTATGCAATTTTTTGCTTCATGTAAAAGATTCTGCAGGAATGATTATATTGAATTTGAAGAAAACAAATTGTCGTCAAAAATACACTTCATACCTCAACGAACATGGCTGCCATGTCTTTTGTCGTATTGATTCTCTTTGGAATGATTGAAAACCACCTAARATCCAACAAACTTATTTCTTATTTAACTTACCATATATACAAGAAGTTGAATAATCTAAATAAATAGATAACGACTAGTTTTGGAACTAGCTTGGACTGCGTCGGTGTTTTTTATAGTTGAAACAAATGTGTCGTAGTAGATAATTTTATCTGTTTACTATCTACGTTTACTAGTCTACTATCTTTCGTACCTACGGTGATAAAATTATCAAAAATTATAAAATTTGTTTTAATCTAAATAAAGGTTCTTGTTTTTGATGTGATACAGATGAGACGTACAACTTTAACAAGTACAGTCACGGCGATATCGACACGTTAAAGATTCCTTACGACTTTGATTCCATTATGCATTACGGTGGAAAAAGCTTCTCAAAGAACGGACAACCCACAATACGATCGATTCTCAGTCCTAGTAGACTACTTGGACAAAAAGATGGCTTCACGAATTTCGATTTGCAAGAATTAAACGCCTTATATGACTGCCAAGGTAAGGTTTATCCTTAARATAATAAACAATTTTTGTTGTCTTGAGATAGAGTATTCAAAAACAATTCATTATTTAAATCTAATATGGCGACCATGACGTCACTTTGAAACGCCGCCATCTTGAACATTGGTCATTTCACTTCCGACGTAAAGGCCTGTTCATACAGGCGAATTTTTCGGCGGTTTGCAGCGCGATTTCCAATCGCCGAAAAATCGCACTAAATTCGAACATGTTCAAAATAGTGGATTTGAATTGATGTGAATTTATCAAATCGCCTCAAAATCGCCGGTAGTTTACACGAGGGATTTATGATCGCACGTGAATCGCCGCAAGAATAGCATTGGAAAACGCGCTGCAAATCGCCGTAAAAATCGCCTAATTAAAAGGGCCTTAAGTTTTCCCATTAAATTAAATTGAATATAGATTTGTTTTAATTATAAGGTATAAACAACAACTCGCCTTGGAGCTCCTGGTCAGATTTTGGGCCATGCAGCATCGGAGACTGCACAAAATACAGACAACGTTTCTGCACGTCTACCAATAGACAAAAAGACTGTCCTAGCGCTGACTACTACGGCGTGGAGACTAATATTGTCAAATGTACTAAAGCTGAATGTCATGGTATGGTTGATAGATAGTTTTATCTCTTACGTTTATTTATTTAATATTCTTTTGTTTTTATCTGTGGATTGTGAGCTATATGCATGACTAGATAAATTAGATTGTTTTCCTCTTCGAATAAACGTGCGTTGCGCATGCAGGTAGTACAAACTAGGTGTAGGGGCCGGCCAGTCTCTACATTAATGCCTTCTCCTGCATAATCTGTACATGTACAATAAGGCTTGATCGGCCTTAATTGAGGTCAGGTCCGAAGTCCATACGACGTCTCAGCTTCTGCGGATATCTTGGGATATGAGAGAGTTGGTTAGCTGTTGGTACGGCTGAGGGCCGCGGGCTAGTCTCTTTCCTGATGCCTCGACGATTTTTCTGGATTATCTATACATCAAGGGCAGCTTCTGCGGAAAACTTGGGGGGGGGCACAGTAGAACAATATTTTTGATGTATCTTTCCAATTCTTCAGCACCTGTGCAGGGTCACTGGGGTCGTTGGTCATCCTGGGGTCAATGTGACGCCCCCTGTGGCTATGGGAAGCAAGTAAGAACGAGAAGATGCGACGATCCACCGCCAAGATTCAACGGTACTGATTGTGTTGGCAACAGTAGTGGAACACAGAAGTGTAAAGCTAGGTCATGTGATCTTGGTAAGTATCATTTATTCTTCATRATTTTGCTTTGCCGCCATGCCAGTGTTTCGGCCATTTGTTCGTTATTCGTGAACACTGAAGTCATAATCAGCCCCAGAAAGTTAGCGCAAAGAATAAAATATACGGTGGAAATAGGGAGACGAATAATGTAATTCTAATTAATGTCTTTCAATCAATTTGTCCGTCGTTTCCCTTATTACGTCATGATGCGACTTCTACCAGAATCCTCTTCGAATTTTATTTCTTATTAAAATGTTTTAATCCCGTTGTAAGTCGCAAGATATTGGTGTTAATGATGATAATGGTAATAATGATGCGAACAAAAAGATAAGAAAAAGATTTTATCTTATCCTTTTATCTTATCCATTTGGAAAAGGCCGTTATACGCCGAACAACGACTCATCCCTTGAGATATAAATGACAATGAAGCAGTCTTCGTGTTGGTTGATCTAACAAGAGAAGCTAATAATGAGGAATGCTTTGTTGTCAACAACCAACATGGCGCCTATGAAGTAACATTCACCCCCAAGGATAAGATACACCTACTTGCAAGAACGTTGACATACGAATAAGGAACATTAGTGATTTAGTGGGATAGGAATTACATTAAAAAACAAAAGAAGATCACTGAAGCTGAACATTTTCTTTTGACTTTTAATGTATTCCTTTCTCACTAAATTACTAATATTCTAATATCATATGACAACGTTCTTGCAAGTAGGTGTAAATTATTATTTTCAAAATYTATTCAAACAGGTTAAATTCAATCAAATATCATTTTCTGTTTCTCCAGGTCCAGACGATTGTGAGTTTGATGTAGATGGGATGTGTTTCTGGTCGAATGATAAGACTAATAACGATAGATACCAATGGGAGAGGAACGATGGTGAAACCCCGAGTAGTGCCACCGGGCCTACCGGGGATCACACTTCGAAAACAGGTATATGTTTATATCGATATATACTAATCGGAGAGGATCGATGGTGAAACCCCGAGTAGTGCCACCGGGCCTACCGGGGATCACACTTCGAAAACAGGTATAAAATGTCTATAACGATAGATATCAATGGGAGAGGATTGATGGTGAAACCCCGAGTGGTGCCACCGGGCCTACAGGGGATCACACTTCGAAAACAGGTATATAATGTCTATTAACGATAGATACCAATGGGAGAGGATTGATGGTGAAACCCAGAGCGGTGCTACCGGGCCTACCGGGGATCACACTTCGAAAACAGGTAAAGACTATGACCAATGGAAGAGGTTTAATACCCGGCTAGTGGTGCTACTGAGTTTACAGGGGATTGGATCTTGCTTCGCAATCGGTAAAATTGTACTGCACATGCTCATTCATGTAATCAGTTTTCGATCGTGATTTTCCTAACATGCGCAGTGCGCTTTTCATATGATCGATTGCGTTAACCAATCCAGATCGAGTATACCGAAGTCGTCCAATCAGATGCTACAACACGCCCAAGAGTCAGTGATAATGTATCGCTTCTGTCTCCTACGTACAGGATCCTACCTCTACGCTGAGGCCTCGGGCCCAGCACAAGCAGGAGACAAGGCTAGGTTACTAAGCAAGACCTTCAAAGCCACAGAGGGGAGGTGTTTGTCGTTTTGGTATCACATGAAGGGTTCTGGTATGGGAACACTTAATGTACACATCCAGGATGGTAATGGAGAACGACAGGTTTGGTCTGTGTCTGGCAATAAAGGCGATCAATGGCAACCTGGTGAACTGACTATCACGAGTCCGACAGATTATAAGGTTTGCTATAAAACTAACTAAAATTTACTAAAAAACGTGTGGACCAATTACATAGCACGACGAAACAACATCGCCGCCATAAAAGCCACCAACATTCTTATCCAAGTTTCTCGCCTTTTCAACTCTAGGTACTATTTGAATCAATCAGAGGACCTGATTTTTTGAGTGACATCGCTCTTGATGATGTCAAATTTAAGGAAGGAGTTTGTAGTAAGTACCTAACAAGCACTTTAAGATGAGGGGATGAGAAGGAAGGGAAGTGAGGGTGCGGGTAGGCGAAGGCTAACCAATRTATTCATAGATTCTTTTTTTTCCCTACAGCTGAAGCGATTGGTTGTTTTTTTGACAGCCTGTCAAACCGCTCGTTCCCTAAAATGATGGCGAACCTGCGCCCTAATATTGACTGGTTCAACATGAATAAAACTGTTCAAGACTGTGCTAAACTTGCTGTAAAACAGGGATACAAGGTAAGAAAACCCTTAACATAGGGCACTACTGAAAACCACTTTTAGTGAGTAGGTTTCCCTCATTAAAGATTATCAACACGAAATAGACTTTATATGATTTGTACTATAGAACAGCTTTTACGACCCACATAAACCTAAATCACCATTGCAACGTTATGAAGTTTTGCTTTTCATTTCTGCCAGCTCTTCGGGCTTCAGTTTTACGGGGAATGTTGGAGCGGAAAGGAATCAGAGATTCAATATGACAAGCTCGGTTCTGACCCCAATGGCTGCTGGGAAGGAGTGGGAAAAGCACATAGAAACTTTGTCTATAAAGTTCTATAACAGATGGTAAGCCGAATAATATAGAGTGAAGGAATTTAACCCGTGAAATAGATATGACTAATACACTTTAGTAGACCCTCATTCCATTGTTTTCTTTTGTGTCTATTCAGACCATTACAAGTTGACTAGTAGTCTTATTTCATGGGTTAAATGCCTTCACTCTAATGACTAACAATAAAGCTACTTTTCTTACTAAATTGTATACCTAAAAGTACATTTAGAGTGAAGTCATCAAACCCGTGAAATAGATATTAGACTAATACACATTAGCAGACCCTAATTCCATTGTCTTCTTTTGTGTCTATTTGACTAATTACGCGTTGACTAGTATTTTTTATTTTACGGGTTAAATACCTTCACTCTATCAAAGCTACTTTTGTTACTTTTTATTATACTTTTTCTGTTTCCTTCTTCCTTCCTAGCTTCTAATAATCCACGATAACCTTCCTTCATTCTTTTCTTTCCTTTCCTTTCCTTTTCTCTTCTTTCTTTCTTTTTTCTAATTTTCTTTCTTTCTTTCTTTTCTTTCTTCCTTTCTTTCTTTCCTAATCATAATTACCCACAATAACCGAACGTAAATTGCATTTCTTTTTCAGAAACAAATACCACTGCTGAACTGAGGATCCTCTAAATTTAGAATAGTAACCTGAATACGTCTCAACAATTAAAATATTTTTCTTAGAGTTGATGGAAGAAATATGTTGTTTTAACCTTCAAATCTGTATTATTTTTGCCTTACTTAGTTCTTTAGTTTATGTCATCACCACCTTAGAAACACACGCAGGGGCTGATCCAGAGGTGGTACAAGAAGTGACTAGTCACCCCCCACGTGCTCAAATGTTTTAGTTAACTTTTACTCGATTTCCTGGTAAAACCTTTGTAATAGTCCCATCTTCTAAAATTCCTGGATCCGCCCCTGACACGGAAAGAGAAATGGATGGAAAAACGGACGGACGGACGGACATAGACAGACAGACAGACAGACAGACAGACAGAAAACTGTCATTCAAAATAAAAACCATGCTAGTCTTTCGGAACATACAATGTTGTTTTACCCCAGTAGAAAATATCCGGCCTCCGTCATTACTTTCAGCATAGTTAACTGGCGGTGACTCTATATTAACTATGCTTAAAGTGCAAATGAACCCTTTGACAATACATTCAGTACTG